GAGAGAGAGAGAGGTGGAGCAAATTAACAAGCGAAACCCAATAACGATGAAGGTCCATTCTGCAAAAACCCCAACTACTTTTCATGTTGCCACAACGCACCACGCCACGCCAGAGCCACGACGCCTGCAGTGAAAGGAACCATCCATCCATTCCCCCGTTTTTGGTTATGGAATAAGGATATGCCGCAGGTTCTCTTCACGCGTTGACATACGTCGCACAAGCTTCCCACAACTCTTCGTGGCTTGTTGATGCAGCGATCCACTCTTTGGGTCACCACAATCACGACGCCGCTCCCCCGCAGCGGGCGTCAATTGGCTCCTGACACAACGATTCGTAATTCCCAACTTCTGCAGCCTTGCGGATTGTGATTGCGGAGCCAACAGAGTCAGTGGCGCCCCCTTGGTAGCGAAAGTGAGGTAATGCGCAAGATAGGCAGTCCGCACCGCCTCGTGCTCGCAGACATGTGTCAAGGAAAAGATGCTGCCCAGAGGGCCTGGCAGTCCCGCACGTATCCGAGAGATCAGCATAATGGCGTCAAACTCACTCACAGGGCTCCAGATCACAAATCGAGCACGCGACCTACGTTGACTTCCAGACTGTAACTCCATTAGATGATGCACAGATTGTAGAGCTGTGAGGCGAGCACTGCGTTCTTGAAGAGAAAAAGAAGACTGCGGCGCTTTCTTCTCTCCTACACACGCTAAAGACGGCGAAGGCTGCAAATAAGCCTCACACCTTAGCTGAAACAATGCAGTGAAGGGGATCACTATCGTTCCCTTTGGGACTGGCGCTTCCTCGTCCTCCGTTGCACCACCTTCCGCGACAATGGGAGAGGCGCCTCCTTGCCTCACCGCCCTTGTCCATGAGTCGATGGCCCGACCAGCCAACAACGGTTCAACGAGAAACGACGTCGTCACAAGTTCCCGCCCATGCATCACACTTGAAGGATGAAGCCAGTGCGTCTCTATGCTCTCCTGGCACCATGCTGTGCTCGTCGTGCTGCTACTTGTGTTGGGAAGAACGACATCGGTCCACCTTTGGGACACAACACTACTCAGAAGAGCCACATCCAAAGCGCGCCGTGCCGCGTGCAACTCCAACTTGTCGCGTGAGATTCCTTCGTCCTTCCGGGCATCCGTTAATGCTTGAACGTAGAGACTAAACCACTGACCATACGGCAGCGATGTAATACTTCGATGCGGCACAGAAGCCACACGTTCAAGTAGGCTTGCAAATATATTTCCTTGCATGAAGTATTTTCTTCCTTCCCTTTTTTCGTTCCTTTTCTACTCCCCTCCCCTTCAAATGCTGACAGCAGAAAAGTGAAGTGAGGAGGTAAAGGAAGAAAGAGAGGGAAATGGACAGCCACACGTGCACATGTGTGTAGGTGGGTCGGCCAATTCATACACGTAATATACTTATATAAATATATAAATTAAATAAAATAAACAAATAAATAAATAAATAAAGAAATATGTGCATATATATATATATATTAGAATGTATGCGTGTACTCACTAAGAAATCGGCTGCGCAGCTTTAGAGATTCTTGTCGCGCCGGAATTAAGAGGTATACACCACTTTTAATTGCAATAAAAGTTGTGCCTTTTTTCCCAGCGTTTCGCAGTTTTCTTCAGATATATATAAATAAAGATATATATATATATATATATCTATAGATATATAATGACCTGGATTAGACATGTGGGTTTGCTCTTGCTTCATGTTGGTGAAAGACGCATCCTCACGGCGTCCCGCATCGTCTCTGTCACCCGCCTCCTATCGGGTGCCTTGAAGATGGAAGTTCCAGCAACAATAATGTTCGCTCCCGCCTCTGCGGCCGCGTGGACTGTCCCTTCACTTAGGCCCCCATCTACCTGTATATTTAGAAGGGGATGCGCCCGGCGCAGTTCCTCGACCTTCGGCATCATGTCTTGCATGAACGATTGGCCACCGAAGCCAGGCTCGACGGTCATGACAAGCACCATGTCCACCAATTTCTCCTCTAGAAGCTCTGACACTGCACTTGCCGGTGTGCCCGGTTTGAGCGCCACTCCGCACTGCATCCCGGCGGCGCGAATCTGATTTGCAACCGCCTTTGGGTCTTCCGTTGCCTCCAAGTGGAACGTCATCTGTGAGGCCCCGGCCCTCGCCATTTCATCCACCCACCGGTGAGGGTTAGTGATCATGCAATGCACGTCCAGAAAGGCCTCTCGCAAATGCTTCCGCAGGGACTCCACCACACACATGCCAACGGAAATGTTCGGAACGAAGTGTCCGTCCATCACATCCACATGTATCCACTCCGAGGCGCCCCCCTCATCGGAGAGGACATGCACGCACTCATCAAGAAGGCGTGCGAAGTCGGAGGCGAGGATGGATGGCGCCATGAGCGGCCGCAGCGGCTCAGGACGGTGGGCGCTCAGCCAAGTGGTGCGGTCATGGTGATTGAACATTTTGCAGACTTGGGGAAAACAAAAATTTTCTGTATGAGAGGCGCCAACGCAGCAAAAGTCAAAACACACGTAAACGCACACGCAGACGCACAGAATGGAATAACGGCAGACGCAAACACGTGAGCCCGAGAACAGGGACCAGCGGTGACAGGACACGGAGGAGGACTAGAAATCGGCTCCCCCAGAAAAGATTAGATTCGGGGTCGACCGACCAAAATACTGCAGAGAAATTCCACACCAGACAAGGTCTCGCAATAACGCTGGGGGAGCTGATAAAAAAAAAAGGCACAGACGAATACGGAGAGGACGGTTATAGTAAAAATAACTCCCCTTGCTTAGTTTCCTCCTCCTCACCGCCGCCACCGGAGTCGCACCTTTCCCTCTCAGCCCGCAAGCAAAATCCATGACTCATCCAACATGTGCCGCGCCTTGCAGGCCTCCCATTCGCCCAAGACGCGGTCCGGAAGTTGCTCGAGGGCAGCTTCCAGCGAGAAGACTGCGATGCAGCCACCGGCACCTCCTGCGCGCGAAGAGTGTCCACTCAAGCATTGCGACAGCTGCACTGCTTGTGGTGGATTTGCCAAATCGGCGCGGAGGGCAAGAATAAGCTCCTGCAGCCATCCATGCATTTCTGAAAGAACGGCTAAGAGTGCATGTATCCCAAGCAATAGCTGCGGACTGTGCGACAGATGCTGATGGCGTTCTTTGTCTCTCAATTGAGGACAAGCAGCGGAGGTCACTGTCATGATCGAGGCTCCCGGTTGTTGACGCAGCAGCGGCAAGGACGCATCCTTCGCCTGCTGCAGTTTGCTACACCACCCCTGCTGTGAATTGCCGAGGGAGCGGAGAAGCGTGCTCACATCCTCTGCATGCTGAGCAATAATGAGCTCCACAGCAGACTCGGGAAATGCAAGAAGTACACCGAGTGGGTCGGTACAGCAGCGCAACGCATTACCGCCACCACAGGAAGAAGGCGAGGAGCAACAAATGCGTCGTGTGGCCTCTTCCACAACTGTCCGCTGCGAAGTAAGGTTGCTGATAGCGCTGAGACTGGCCACAACAGAGTCCAGGAGGTTTTGGCATTCACGGAAGCGTTGCACCACTAACGCGGCCATCAATCCCCCCCCCCCCTCAGCAGCTACAAACCTCCACCCATACACCCGGCAAAAAGAAGAGCGAGAGAAATAAGAGAAGCAGAAACGCCGGACACGAGAGAACCATTAATACTGGTACACACACTCTCGCTTCCCATCATCCCAGGTATACAAAACAGCAGCAACCGCAGCAGAAGCACGGCGCCCACAAATAATACTCAATTCACACAAATACCCTTTCCTCTCTTTGAGAGAGACGCACATACACTCGCTTGGCGTACTTGCCATTCTTTAACCACACACCGTCATGCGTCTTCTGCTTCCATTGCACAACTCATGTGCAGTTCACGCCATATCCTCGCATTTTTTCCACATCGGGGTGGAGATAAGGAATAAGAAGATCTTCTCAACGAATATCCCCCCTCTTTCTCGTTAAAAGCTCTTCCCCGCACCCCCACTCCCTCCTTCCGTCTCACTCTAGGTGTTTCTCTCGAGCCTCACTTTACGCCTTCACCTCCTCTGTTCTTCACCTCTTCTGTTTGCATGCCAACTATCCGTGCATGTGCATATACGCGCGATCTAATTACTGCCTTTCATTTACCACAGTATGACTTTGCTGCGGTGGTGCTACGAACTACACAAATGAAAACGGTTGCTCCTCCACCGAGGGCTTGCGCGTCACCGCGTGTGCCGCAACAACGCCTACGGACGACAGAGCCAGCCAGAACACCACCGAACTACCATTCGTGAGGAAAAAGGAAAGACCAGCAAACAGTATAATAAACAGATACGCCTGCGAGAAAGTAATCCTGTGGTTCGACACGGTGAAGTGATTGCTGTTCGTTTCCGCCGCCTCCACCCGCTTTGCACTTACAAACCAACACATCGCCGCAGTAAGCAAAAAACACAAGGAAAAAGTTGGATTCAGAAGCAACACATACGAAGAACACAAGAGTGACATGATGATGTAGTTGTGGTAGTAGTGATTGATGTTGCGGTTGAGGCGACTGAGGGAATCATTGAGGCCCGACGGAGGCGAAAAGCTCTGTCGGTCGAAGAAGTCCTTCCATGGACGCACCATGGCGAGTCGCCGGCGTGCTCCGTCCAGTGCATGTGCGTAGTAGTGCCGCACCTTGCCTACGAAGGTAGAGGGAGGTGCGGCGGCGGCAGTCTCCGCTATCCCCACCTCGGTGGTGTCTGCGGCGCCGTCCACAAACGCCATGTCAGTTCTCCGCGGAGGAGCACTTGCCATCATGGGACTACGCAGTTTGTAAACGTGTCTCGCAGTCAACCTACAAAAGGAGGTGCGTGTTGGGATCTCCAGAGCAGCAAGACCCAACAGAGGGAAAGCGCAAGGACGTCGAACTTCTCATTGAAGAAGACAAAAAAAAGGAAGGAGGGAGGGAAGGAAAAAGATGTACTGAGAAAAACATGAGCAAAGCGACAAATGCCGGAAACGCATTTACACACGTGCACGTGGATAGCGAGAGTGAGCGAGGGAGAAAAACACGGTAAAAGTGATTCAACGGAATTGCAATGAAAGTTCAAGCAAGGAATTACGTTTTTTTTGCTCTCTCTCTCCCCCCCCCCGTATACGACGGGTCTACACAGCCCGTCTTCTATACGCCGCTTTCCTCTTTCTCTCGCCCATACGCAAGGTAACAGGAGAGTGGCCTTCCCCTTCGCTTGGAGGTAGTGGTGGATAACTCTATTTGACTCTCTCTCTCTCTCTCACACACACACAGAGGCACATGCATCCATTTTCCACTCTATCCAATGCCCTGCATGTTTTTTTTGTATTTGTCGTTACGCCCGCCCCATGTTCATATATTGTTCTCCTTTCTTGGCTACCTCACGGGATCAGCAGGGTCCCGTTTTTTTTTCCTTTCGGTTGTTGTTGTTTTCCTCACCCTCGCCTTATCCTGCGTGTGTTTCTCTATCCCGGCACTATATTTCACCCCTTGAAGAATTTGATGCGCATCTTGAGTGAGCGGCGCATGATGTCCAGCAGGTCGGGCGCTCTCAAACTAGAAACGCCGTTCACACTTTTAATGCGCCACTCCGTCTTCACTGGTGGCTTCAAGAAAGTCTGGTAGAAGGGATGCCTGCGCCTGGCGTCACGCGCCGATGCCAACTTTGGTAGCGACGTTATCCGCATTGCCCGTTCTACTCCCTCACCACTACTCTCAAGCGACAATCCCCACTGCCCTTCATTGGAGTCGCGGCGTATTACCATTTCCTCCGGTGTCAATAGCTCTATCGTGACATTGTTCGGTAAAACGAGGGGCGCAGGAGTGTCGCCTTTTGCCAGTGGCCCTTTAGACGCCTCCTTCAAGTTCTTCTGCGGCCTTCCCTCAGTACCCAACGTGTCGTCCAGTGCGGCGTCCTCGTCGGCGACCATTGGGTACGTCTCCTTCACGTCGTCTTCCTCCGCGTGCTGCTCAGGCTCCGCCGCCAGCTCCTCTGCCTCATTCGCGTCCGCAGTGCACGCATCATCGGCCTTCGCATCTAAATCCTCCGCGTTTTCGTGAGCATCTTGCTGTTGACTCTTCACCTTCCGTGCACGTTCCCCGGGTCGTCTGACGCTCTCTCCACTCACCAGTGGCGTCTCCTTCACCTGCTCAAGCTGCTCCTGGCTAAGGGCCACAGCCAGTCGTTCAGGCATGGGCGCTCGGCTCCGTGCTGCCATGGCAGGGGTCACCACTACGAAATTCAGTACAACTGTCTCTGTGTGGGCACACAACGCCTCGGCCTGCGCGGGCGTTGTCACCTCAACACCATTGACTGCCATCAGCCCGACACGCCCGCGGTAATCCGCGAAGAAGCTCCTTGCCTTCATAGATATTCCTTGCCTGGGCACGCTTCTTACAATCAATCCATCCGTAAAATTACATTCCCACGGCATACTTCGATCAGGACGGTGCAACACAAGCGTTGCACGCTGCCCAGATGAACCCTCACCTCCTTGGTTGGGCACAAGAAAGGCCAACTGCCGCATACGAGCTTGCTTCAGCGCATCGTCGGCCAGTTGAAGCACGATGCGCTTGTTCGTCTTGGTGGTGTTCTTGAAGATTTCCAAAACTTCCTCCGCTCCTCCCGGCGAGACTGTTGGAAGCGTCTTTGAGTTTATGGCGACTACTCTGGCTCCCTCGGCGGTGCAGCAAAGGAGTCGGTGCAGCTCCTCCCCTTCCTCGGAGGCGCTGCGAAGCGAAGTGTCAATGTCCACTATTTGTCCGCAGTGATTGAAGATTAGCCCCCACGGAGATGCGCTGTCTGTGCGGCGAAGCACCACTGTTGATGCCTCACGGTCGACACTCTGAACCTTCGTCTCGGTGATGGGGGTTTGCGTGGTGTTGACCTCCACCAGCGCCACCCAGTCCGCGAGTTGGTAGTACTGGCGGGAAAGAATGAGCATCATCTGTTCAGCCGCCTCAGGGGTGATCTCCATGAGCTGAACGCAGGGAAACGTGACGAGGAGATTGTCGTAAAAAGATTCAAAATCATTTAGCAGCGTGCGAGTTGTGCGCAACGCTGCCACTTGTTGCGCGGTACGCTTGTCGTTGTGACTGCCCTCCAATTCCTGCTTAAGGCGCATGCGTAGCTGTTCAAGAAACATCTCCACACGAAGTTTGACACTTACCCAAGCGAGTACATGAAGTCCCTCCACAATGCCCGCCTGAGGCGCCTTTCGGTGGGCGACGTACTCCGCCAGCACAGAGGCGACCTCCGCCCGGTCCAGTTTTCCTGTGACCACCTCCTTGTGAAATGACACCAGACCAAAGCGAATGATGTCAGCCAGCTCGAGTAGAGCATCTCGCGGCGTTAGCAGAACCTCTGATTCCCTTTGGCAAAGATCGTTTAGGCGCGCCATCACCGTAGCAATGCGGCGAGCCACGAGAAAGGTATGCGGCTCCTTGGGCAACGGAGGCTGATTAATCGGGCTGTTCGGGGCGTACAGCAGCTCCGCCGCGGCACCCCACTGTTGCAGCCTCTGAGTTGCCGTCAGACCATCTTCCATCTTGGCAGCAGGGTGACTCTTGCGCGGACTGCTTTTGGGCATAACGGCTCAACCAACCTTTTTTGATCAAAAAAGCACTGACGTTGTGACAAGCGACAAAAAAAAACGGCAAAAAGAAAAACGGAGGCGCAAACAAACAAATACATTCCAATCACACGTAATGCAGACTGCCGCGGAAGGAGAAGGACGGGGCGCGAGACGCAGGAGCTCCCAGGGCCTCGCCTCTTTCCCCGTTTCCCCTCGCCCCAGCCCAGAGGAGGAGGAGGAGGTGCGACGGACGCAAGTGCGGCGGCAGCCGCACGATGAATCCCCGACGGAGAAGCAAAGCAAACTTGATGGCGCCGACGAGGACCGCAACGACTATGGAAACTACAGTGGGGCCGCCGCCGCCGCCTTGCACGCGCAGGCAACAAAAAAAAAACAACAACCAATCATATAATATGACAGGAAAATAATAATACAAAAAAAAATTGGGTCAGACGACAACAGCAACAAAAACAAGCATAAATCAACGCAAGCTTTATCAACATGGCTGAGAAAGTCAACTTCCACTTTCTTTCTTTATTTTCCAGTTTTACTTATCTGGATAGATGCAACAGTAGTGATAGGTCACCTTTTTTCATATAGGTATATGTATACCTTTCCTCAGTTTATTTGGACCTCACTTCACTTTTCTTCATCCCTCTCATTCCTTTTCCTCGACCTCCTTGCCGCGTTTGTGGCTGTGCTGGGCATTGTTTTCGTCGTGGTGGTGGTGGTGGTGGTAGCTGCGCCCCCCGTCGGACTCCTTGCCTTCCAAGTAGGCCAGCAGAAGCAGCACAAAGATGATGATGTACTGCACCATCTTGGGGCGCAGCTTCTCCAACTCCTCGTCGTCAAAGTACGTCGGCCGACGCAGCACTGCGTGTGGAAGAACGAGGACGCCGGTAATAAAGAGCACAGCCCCCATTGTGCGAAGACCGTCCCCGAACAGAAAGAGAAGCAGCAAGACAACGAGAAAAACATCTGCGAGGCGCCGATACAGCACCGAAAAGCCACCGATGCACATCCTCGTCCCGTACACCGACCGCTGCCTCTCAGCCAGGTATATGCTGTGCAGCGTAACCGCGGACACGCCAATCAGCACAAAAAACAGCGGGTTGTACAATAGGAGAAAAGGCAGCAAGACGACGTAGCAGATCACGGCATAATTTGCGGCGTAAAAAGGAAGGTTGAGGTTTGCGCGAGAAACCGCATCCCCGAGGCTTTTCGGAGGAACGAACTGCTCCCGGTCGAAAAAATCTTTCATCCACGGAAGTTCCTCCTTTTGGAGTTCCTTGACGATGTTCCACACCTGCAGCACGACATCACGCGCAAGGGCGAAAACACCACCCTCCCGCGGTGGATGCTGCTGCTGCTGTTCCTCCGTTGTGGGGGCGGTCGCTGCCTGGGTGGCCGGCAACCGTTCTCCCGCCGTGGACGAGGAGAAGGTTGAGGAACTGAATGAGTGCACCTCGCTGCTGCTGTGGGTGTCCTTGCCGCGCAGGACGCCAATAGGTCCCTCGCCATCACTAGTGTGCCCCTTCTTCATTCCGCGAAGAGGCACCTCGCGCAAACTACGGCAAACCAACAAAGCACGCACTTGAGATGCAGATGCACCTGCGTTTGTGCGTCGGAGGACACAATAGAGAAAAAGCGGAGGAAATGTGCCACACACATATACCTAAAAGGAGATGGGGCATCGACGACGATGAGAGAGGCGCTACTGAAGGCGTCCGGAATGTCGCAGCAAAACGACTACAACCGCAACTCGCACTGCCGCGAAAACTAACGTCATCAAGGCGAACTTTGGAGTTCTTCCACAGGCGTGAAAGAGAATTAGCAATAAATCCAAAGAGTAACTTGACAAAAATGAAAGAAAAACAAATAGCAAAAAAAAAAGGGGGGGGGTTGGCGGGGAACAACTGTGCATTGGCGAGAGCATACGAGGGAGGTAAGGATAGGTGTGTATGTACGAGATTCCCCACTTGGTTGAAGGAGAAGCAAACAAAAGGAAAAATGAACAAAATTCTCCGTCTCTCTCTCTCTGCCCCTCCTCCTCCCCCTCACTCTGCCCTATCGCCCTTATTACTAGCCGTTTTGCCACAGCCACCGCACTTTGCCAAGTTGGGTGCCGGAGCATTCCACAGGCTCCTTCGCCCTGCAAACGACTTCGACCGCATTTTGTCTGGGCGGGTCTTCTCCAAGCGGCCCCTCACTCGCTTCAGAAGCCGCGCCAGCTGGCACGAGGGTGCGCTGGAGAAACGGAAGCTGCGGAAAGAAGCGGTGTGCGATGTGCCGGAGGTACATCGCCTTCACGTCGCACAGCGGGCCTGGGCGCAGCAGCAGCTTTTTCAAATCCGTAAACAGGCGGTGCGGGCGGGGAGTCGCGCGGGGGCGGAGACGGTTCAGCCACCATGCGCAGCGATGGGGGAAGCTGGTCGCTTTCGCAGCTCGAGCGTCGTCGCGAAGCGAACCAGAGAGGAGCGAGAGTGACGAGGAATGGCTCCCGCCACCCAGGCTACCGTGAGGGGCACCGTCGTCGCGGGCCCTATTGAGAAACCTCAGTGCCCCGCGTTCGAGGCAATGACAGAGCAAAATAAGAATTTCCATGAGCTTTGGCAGGAGGGCAATCAGACAATTTTGTCGCCGGCTCAACTGCAGCGTGCAGGTGCGCCGGAGGAAGGCGAGAATGGGGCGCGTCACAGGGTCAAGCCGCCGCGAGTACGGATGCAGCACAAGGGCGGTCTCCGCTATCGTCCTGAAGCTGTGCAGGCTCGCGCCGTCCATGATCCGAAGCGAGGTGGAGGAGATGCGTTCATCCGTCCGCGCCTCCCGCGCGTCTTCGTCGGCGGTGGTGACGACGTTCAAAGGACGACGTGGCAGCTCCGTGACGTCGGGTAGGACGGCGCGGTAGCACTGCTGCCACACGTACGCCACCATGCGGTAGCGCAGCACAAACGGCAGCTCAAGCTCCAAGCGGAAGGAGTCTACCGTTTGGTGAGCCAAGCGATCGTATTCAAACAAAGACACAGTCGACGGCAGACACCCCTCCTCACGCGGATCGGCGTCCTGCCTTCTGCTGCCGCTGCTTGCGGTCCACACGGCGGTCACCAAGGCGTACGCGAAAGACACCCGCTTTCCCTCTTCCTCACTCCCCGGCATCGTTTCCCAAGTCCAAAGTATCCTGCCGCCCCCGCTGTAGCCTGTGCACAGCTCCGGCGCTACCGCGGTGTCTCAAGTTCAAGGAAATCAGAGAAAAAGGCTGGGAAGAAAAGGGGATAAGAACAATAGCAAAGACTCAAAGAAGAAGAAAAAAACATGCCTGCTGAGAAGCATCCCAAAGAAGTGCACAAGCAAAGACTCAAAGGAGAGAAATGGGTACCAAACATGTCAAGTTATAGCTTAGATGTCTAAAAGTGAATATGTGTACTGTGCTGGGTCGCAGCTGGCGTTGTGCTCACGCCCTGTAGCGGAGGCGAAGCAGCTGAAGCTTGTCACGTGGAATCCAATTCTCTGCGTTCTGCCTCATCATTACTTCTCTTACCTGCAGATCCACCAAAGAGTTTTCCCACACTTCTTTATTCGATTGAAGTAGTTCCAGCGCAGCCTGCCACTCCCCCGCAACGCGTAATGCGCGGAGGGCAAAAAGGACAGCAAGTGACGGATTATGCACGCTGGCGTCCTTCATGGCTGCAAGAGACTCCAACCAGCGTCCGCCCTGCGCCACACAGACGGCAACGTAACTACTCAACTTCAGATGCCGCCGCAACTCGGCCTTGCTACCGTGCTTAGACAGAGTGACGGAAGAGTCGGGAATGGGCACCAGGGAGTTCCACCACGTGAGACAGGCCCTCCACTCTCCGAATCGTTGTAGCGTCAGAACCAATGGGACTGCGGCAGAAGGGGTAAGCTTGTCCCGCAACGCTGGAGTGGAAAGAAGCACTGTAGCCAGCGGCAGCGAACGCATGGTATTCGCGGCCTCCGTTATTGCCTTGACCGTCACCGCCGTTGGATGGATTCCACGTGCTGCCATGAATTTGCTGATCACATCAATCGCCTCTTGCTGACGCCCTTGCCGGCTCAGTATGCCCAACGTGATGTTTACCGAGGCGGCATTGGGGTGAGGCATGGACGCAAGCAGCTGAATCGCGCCCAACCACGAGGACCGACTCTTTGGACTGCGATAAATGTGAAGCAGCTCCTCGTTGTTCGTTATTTCCACCGCCGCGCCTACGCCACCCCCGCCGCGTGTCACCCCCAGAGGGGCGTCTTTGTAGTTGTGGCGATGCCCAAGGCACAGATCGCGTACAAACTTTTTCCACGGCTCCTGCTGAGCTGCGGGAAGCTGCGGAAGGACGCCGTGCTCGAAGGACTCTGCAAGCCCCACCAATTCCGTCTGGAGGGCGGAGCACTGCTCCCCACCGTGCTCCTCAACGCGCGTGCGAGCATCTTGCAGCAACCGACACGCTGCGCCCCAGCCGTCGACATCCGCCCTCGCCGCCAGCATCGCCACCCGCCTCGCGGCAATGCGTTGGGGGCATATGACCACTGCGTCATTCGTGGCGACGTGGCTCGCCTCTCGCCACCTGCCGGCCTGCGCCAGCATGCGGGTCAGCAGCAACGCGTGCGAGCCCGACACGGCGACGCCCTCAACCGCGGCGGTGCGCCACGCGGCGAGGGCCGACTCCCACGCGCCACGATCGGCGCTTGCCTCTAGAAACATCGTCAATACATTTCGCATCGCCCCCCCAGGAAAGATGGCATCTCAACGCGACCCCAGCACCTCCGCCAGGCAGCAAAAAGAGAAAGGCGATGCAAAGGAGGGAAAAAGCAACAATACGAGTGCTCAAATCGACAATCAAACAAACGCACGCACCGCGCCGAGGGACTCTCGGCGCAGTCTAGCACAAAACGCCGCTTGCCTACCAACGCCCGCCATGCGCACCACACGATGCATCCCGGTCAGACTGGATGGGTAAATGACAAACAAGACAAACAAACATCACAAACAACACAGTTGAACAAGCGGAACCAACACTGATGGGATATAAATATAAATATATAAAGAGAGAGAGAGAACAAGGCGAAGTGGAGCAAAAGATGGAAAGAGTTGACCGCTTCAGTACTCGCCTCTTGAGCTGATGTGCAAACACGGTCGTTCCACCAGCATATGGAAAATAAACGCCACAAGAAGTGTTACCGCCATGTAGCCAAACCCTTGCACGATAAACAAAAGAAAATTCATCGTGGCCACTTCATAGGTGCTGGCGTTGCCAAATCCTATGACAACGGGCGCCGCTAGATAGGCGGCCAGCACCAACCTTGAGAGCCCACACCACAAGCGATGTGTGAGGATGCGGTGCAACATGCCGCCGTACCCAAAAAGAAGCGGTAGCGCCAACAGACACAGCGCCAGACACCACGGAAAGAGAATAAGCGACTCATACGCCTTCACACCGACACCAATCCCCGCGCCCCTCTCATCCTCGCGGTGAATGAACCATGCGCTAAGGACACACAAAGACGTGATGGCGAGGCCACTCCAAACAAAAAAAACCCGTATCCGCCGCATTCCCAGGAGTTCCAAGATCCAGTAACTCGCCCTGTCCTCTGCGCCGGCTCCCTCCTGAATGCGATGCACCATTAAAAAGAGGTCCGGTCCAAACATGCGCAGCATCTCAGCACGCTGTCGCAGAGCTCTGTATAAATAATAAAGCATTGCCCCAAGACAGAAGGGAATAAACATGAGATGTGGGAATTGATACACGGTTCCCACAGGCAATGCGTGGTGTGAGACGGCACTGGGAGTCAAAAACACCCTTCGCTGGTGCGATAACTCAATATACCGCAACGCGGCGCTTCCCGCCATTGTAAGAATGAGTAACGAAAAGAATAGACGATGATGCAAATGCTTCCCAAGAAAGTAAATCAGCGGTGCCAGTGCCACGAGTTGAAACTCAAGCGCCACATAATATGAGCATGGGAAACAGCGTTTATTTTCATCAGCAGGGATAATGTTATTGACGAGGAGTAAATTTGTCCACCAGTACCTCATACAATTTGCATACAGGGCAGGAGAGCGTGCAAAAAGACCCCAAAAGGGTCCATGGCCGGCGCCCGACACGGCGTTTGGTAAAAGCATCAGGACGGCAAATGAGATGGGGATGAGGCGAACAAGGCGTGCCACAAGATACTTGGCGTACCACAAGCTACATTCAACGAGCGTCCGACGACACCTACGCCGTTCCGCCCTCACGCGGGCGGTGGGGGACTTCATGAGTAACTCCTCAGAGACATGAAGACGGTGTAACGCCAGGAAGCCAGCTATAAGAAGAAAGGTCCCAACGGTAAAAGCAGCGAACGCCTCCTTCTCAAGAAAGGCATAGAGTATGTTCACCTGACGCGAGCCCACATTCTCCAAGGTGGGAATCTGCTGCGAGTACCAAAAATAGCTGAAGATCATGACCCACATCCATGCGAGTACCCGCCAGCTGTTAAATAAATTTAGGTCCACCTCGGACTTTGGGTGATAACGCCATTTACGAAAACTGTTAATCAGTGAGAGACACAGCACGGTGCGATTCACAAAAGAACGAAAGTCAGGCACATCTGGGATTTCGGCTAAGAATTTTTGTACACTCCTATGTGACCAAAGTGCCTCCGCGTTAAATTCTGACAAAATGCCTGTCCCTCGCGAAGCATCGTCAACACCACCCACAGGTGTTGTTGCGATTACAGGTACTGCTGCTGGTGGTGCCGCAGGCGTTAGAACCCCCTTGCGTCTGACGAAAGATCCGCGAAATGGTTTTGACTTCAGACTTGCGGCCTTTTCATCTTCCGCCGTCGGAAGATGAAGCGAATGTGAAGACCCCCCTTTTTTTTCCGTCTCATCTGCAGCGGACGACTGCCCCAGAGAAGCAAGTAATGGTTGAGATACCTCTGCGCTAAAGGTGGAATAAACTCCTCCCTCTTTCTCTGCGAGGTCCTTCTGGAAAAGAGGTGAATTTGCATCGTTATGCCTTGGGCCCGACTTTTTATCTTTATTTTTAGACTCTAGAAGGAAGATATTGGGCGGCTGTAACACGCGCACAACGGCCCCATCGGCCCCCATCATCACCACTTCGAATGGGATACTACGGGCGGTAATTTCCCAGAAGTAGTCATAGAGTGTTGCCAGCAGCACGAGCAGCGTGAGGAAGCCGAGAATTACCCAGGAGACAATATTCTCCACCTGCGGCTCCGAAGAAGAAAGGCGAGGGCCACAATTGATGTATTGTGCCAGACTGTCTGCTACCTGTGATGCATTAGCGTCAGCACTGGAGAGGATTTCACGGTAGTTAAAAGTTGTATTTAGCATGGGATCCACCACCACGTGCCGCGCAATTTCCAGGAGGGTGCAGGTAGAAGGCAGGCAGTAGCCAAGCAGGCGCGAGCTCCCCCACTCGAACGTTGTAGGGAAGAGTACACAGAACTGCACTCCGTTCTCATTGGGGCATCCGCTGTAGCTCCCCAACATGCCTGGAATGCCGCCAGAGGCACGAAACATGAGCTCCGTTTGGCTACAAAATGGCCGCGCCATTACTGCCCACAGCAACGGCTACACGGACCACCCACCACCACGAGTACTACGACTAACACAGCTTCGCCAAAGGAAGAAACAGCTGGGAGTTCTGAGGACGGAGCTGCAAGCAAGAGCCAAAGGAGGAGAGAGACGTGTCCACGCATCCAAATTTACTTTTCTCCCCGCTCGGGAGTAAATCAAATGGCGCACACATACCAACCAGCATAACACGGGGCAAGACGAGGTTTTCACTCCCTACCGTCGCCTGCGCCACACAGCAAAAGTGGTGCAGAAGCATGAGAAGTAAACAGGAAATACGGTATACCAGCAACAACGGAGAAGGGGCGAAACAGGAAAAAAAAACGCCTCAAGAAAAAAAACAGAGCAAGTAATAATGAAATACAATGAAGCAAAAAGAAAAAACTAACAAACACACACTAGCAACAAGATAGAATTATTGCCGCATTCTCTATATATATATATATATATCCATTCACGCTGCTACTTCTCTATGGGGAATATGCCAGCAAGGCGTGCCCAGGCCAACAAGTAAAGTGTTTACTGAACTAAACTTCAAACAAGGAAGTGCGGGTACGCCAGCAGGAAAGGGGCAAAAGCAAGGAATTAACGTGCTCCTCACTCCCAGCCCTAAAAAAAAAATGTTTTCCTTCTATTTTCGCAGCGATGAGAGACAACGTGCGCGCATAGCACTGATTCTTTTCTTTTGAAGCTACTCCTTCTCTCTCGCTCTTTTTTCTTCCCTTTTGTGCTTAACGTTGCTTCCTCTTCCAGTTTTTTCTATGGGGGGTAATTTGAGTTACTCCTGCGTGATGCTGACAACATCGCCGTCCTGGAGGTTGTAGTGCGCCAAAGGATGTCGATCCAACAGACACGTGCCGTGGGCCCGCAACACACATCGTGTCAGAGGTATCATGGTCTTCTGTTGCACCAGAGCACGAAGTTTGAGAACCTTCTCAGTGGCCGGCATGCGCACCTCCCAGCGAAAACTCTTGTCCTTGTACAGCATCACGAGGCGTGCGACTTCATCCCGCGCGATGATGGTTACTTCCGGTGCGCCAATTTCACTCTTCCCGAGGCCGAGTTCGGTGGTCTCCAACCTGCACTTTGGGTCCAGGAGCACGCCCCCTGCCCGCCACTCCTGGCATGCCGCACGAATACCTGTGCTGTTCTGTACCATCAGCATCACGTCAGAGATGGTGTCATTCACATGCGCCGTAACACTGAACGCCTTGTTGCTGTGCTGGACGCGGGCGATAAATGTGCGCCAAACTCCCTCATCATGTGCTGCCGCCGCCTTTGTGTTTGCCGTTGTTGCGGCTGCCTGTCCCACCACCGCGGCCGCAGCAGCTTTGTTACTATTATTAACAGTAATCGCTGTGGGTACCGCACGGGTCTTCGCGTTGGGCCCGTCCGCCTTGAGCAGCGCTGACGTCGGCGTGGGCTGCGGTGCGGGGGACGAGACCCCATCACTGCCACGCCCCGGGCGTTCTTCACTCACCGTGATGGGCACCCCGAAGGCGTACCACATCGCATAATTGTGAATAAAGTACCGCAGAAAGTCTTCAAAGATGACATACGTCGTGTCGCCAAAGATGTCTACCACGCGGCGCCGCAACTCCATCTCTGGCATCTCAATGGTACGCCCAATAAGCGCGTGTTCAAGCATAAAAATCACGTCATCTCGTGCAATGGCTTGTTCCATGCCGCGACGAAGTGCAAAGAAACAAAAGCGCGCCGCCTCCAGCGGTGTCATACCCGTCACATGAAACGTGCACGTGATAAGAAACTGCCTCAGCTCATGTGGAGAAAAACCAGGTCCTGCCTGGTTAAAGAACACGGATAAAACACGCGCCACACCAGGATCAAGTGCAGCGTGCCCCATCATTACATCCAACAAATGCCGCACATGCTCCATGGAAGGATTCGCCTCCACAATACAGTCTCGCCTCCATCGCCGTTCTGTCGCCCGCGTGATATGCTGATCGGACTCCCAGAAAATCGGTTGATAGGCCCCAGGTGGTACATCGGGTGGCGGCCGACCCCAATCCCTCGCGACATGTGCGTACTGCGCCTGATGCACTGGATCATTAATGAGGCTACAGTGCTCCTCTGCACACAACGGCGTTTCACCTCCCAGTGGCTGGCGCACCAATCGGATGCAAGCAAGAAGAAGCCCCATGTCTCTCCCGAGGGCCGTGCGCACGGCAGCCGTCCACCACACATCGCGCTCCATGGCGAATGAGGCCATGGGTTGTATCGGCAGCGCCACTGCCACGTCGGAGGCGTTGGTGTGGTTCATCGCGTTTTGAATGGTGCAATGAATAATTGCTCGCTCAAGCTGAGTTGGGTTCTGTATTGTGAGAAATAACGGATTCGTGCCATCAAAGAGAAAACGATCCTGTCCCCCAAACTCCACGGAGGTAGAGTACTGGGTGCCACGCTGGTACGTGTGGCCCGGAACAAGCCACGTCGCGCGAAGCACTAGTCCCACGGGGAACGTTGGTTGATTCACAGACTCTGGTGACGCAGTGATGAGGGCGCCTCCGTGCGGGGAGAGTGAAACGTTCCACGAAACGGTCACAAAGCCAAAGTCATCCACGCCATGTTTCAAAAGGTTCGCCACATCCTTTTTAAACAACGGATCAAGCTTGTCGTGGGCGTTGCGGGGCTGCAGCATGAGACGTACCGGTTGCGTGGACCTGCTTGGAGCATGCAGCATAAATGGACACACCGCCTGGCCGTAAGCCTCACCCTGCGCATCCTCCAGTGTGACAAGAACGCGCTGCTCCACGCCTTGCTCACCCTCGACCGTGTCCGTCGTTAATTCCGTCTGTTTTTGCGCCGCGAACAGTGATCTCTTTCCGTCCGGGCAGTGAGCTTTCGCGCCTGGCACCGAGAATCGCAACGTCTCATTGAAAGTTGGTTTTGAGGTGAAGTACTGCCGCCGCGTGGAGGCGACACGATGCTCAGTTGCAACCACACTCGTAGCCACCACCTTGCCTCCCGCAGACATGCCATGAAGAGGCATTGTCTTGCGCAGCGTTGACACACTCAGCTGCGCCACTGGGTCACAATGCAGCAGCCGTGCAGTTGGAAGAAAAGCTCCAAGTATAGTCAACTCTACGTTGCTGTCAAATTCAATCCTGAGCGGTGCGTTTGCCTCCGCGGCCACAGCCGCGTTCATCGCCGGCCGTAGAGCAAGGGACTGCGTTTGTAAGGGACTCAACCGAAGCAAGAAAAAAGAGGAAGAAGGAGGGTGAGAAGTGAGGCGGCATGAGCCGGCGGTGACCGAAGCAGCCGTACACCCCCCTCTTCTCACAGCGGCGAGAGTGCAGATGCGAGGAGAGGAGGAGGGGAAGTGCAGGCCAGCAGCGGGAGTAGAAAGGAGAGGGACTTGACAGCTCATTTCGTCCCTTACCGCCTTGAAAGAGTGTATCCCCCCCACACACACACACTTCTTTGCAACCCCTCGGCACGTTGCAGTCGTTTGCCTCTTCTCATCATGCCAGACCCAGAAATTATATGGGCACGAGCGCCTTTTAGCCTCCCCTCCTCACTGCTGCTTGCATATGCAGCCGCTAAACCCAAAACAAACAGTGAAACGCTGCAGCTAAGGAGAGTTCTCGCATGTGCCCACCCTCCCAGAGGGCCACAAGTACACACATAGAGAAGGAGAGATACACACACACGCACACATACGCTGAGGTGCAAAAAAAAAGAAGAAGGAGCGTGAAACAAAAATGAAAACAAAGCTTAATCAGAGACACCGACACACACACACACAGTTGTATATGCATATATATGCATATATATAGCGGGAGAGAGTTTTCTGTATTGTATCAAGTACTTGGACGACATCCTCCTTTCCAGCCAGATGCATGTAAATTTTTCCTTCTAGTTGCTCCGCCCATTTCATTAGACTGCTCTTCACGATGCCCCTAGAAGTGTCAGTGAACCCCAAATGAGAAGAGGAAATTGGCAACGCCGCGCCTCCTCTTGTGTCATGCGCAACGCCAGGGCGTATGGATAACGCATGCGCCACTCAAGCGCCATCCGAAGCTTGTCGAGATAAATTTGAACGAGCCGCTGGTGGTCCCCCGTGATACTCGTACCAGGCAGCAGATCGATCCGTAGGACGCGGCGACAGCCGTGATCAAGGCATAGTCGTGCTGCCACGCCTGGCTCGCCAGCAGATGTGGGAGTGGAGGCATCATTCGTAACAACTACAAGGCTAAGCGACTCCGAGAGGCACTGATGGCCGCGTGTCAGATCTTTCAGACGCACCATGCCGTCAGCAACCTTAAACATGTGCTCAACAGGGTCACATAGCACCATTAAAACCCGGGCCGAAGGTGACGAGAAGGCCGATATTATTTCCTTACGCGTACATCCAGTAAACAAGGTCCAGGAATGTGAAGTGCCAGGGCGCCATTTCGCCGGGTCCTGATGCAGAGCCGTGGAACAGAGATGTTGGTCATCCAGCGAGGCGGTGGCAGAGCTTCTTGCTGTTGCCAATGATATCTTGCTCGGGGCCACAGCGTCTGCTCGAAGGTTCCCTGACGAGAGTGAATCCACTGCTGATATGCAGCGCACCGTCTTTTCTGGGAGAAACACACAGATGTCCTCCGGTAGGGCGTCAAGAAAGGAGAACTCTTCCTCATGCCGCATGCTGCCAAGGAAATTTGCAACACTTGGTGCCACAACCATTGTAAACTGTTGGCACAAGGGCTCAGAGTTCACCGCAGCGTCGTGCAGCGCGGGGAAAGGAACATGCAGCAAAGTCGGGTCAAGAATAAACGCAAAACATTCCGCCTCATCATTAAAGCAGAGGGCCATTCGAAGTGTGTCTCCAACAGGGGACCAGAGATCTGCATACAGATCCCGCAAGCCTTGCTTGAGTTCCTCGTTTACAGCTGCTGCTTCGGCTGTTAGATCAGGTAGAACCAGTGAGGCGTCTACGGAGCCAGTCCGACTTCGTCGCGTGAAGGAGCTAAGTGAGGAGGCAATCACGGAGAGTCGATTTTCCTTACGGTCCACAGATGCAGTCAATAATGACTCGGCGCAAGTCAGAGATGCCGCATCGCGTGTTGAGGGTGGTGTCAGCTGCTTCTTAGTGTGAAACTCCTTCAGCGAGTAGGCCTGCACCGAGCGTCGAAGAAAAAAAGAACGTCCGGCAGGGCGAACAATAGCAACATATTGTGTGGCGAACTCTAAATAGTAAAATACAAATGTGCATCGCGGAAAGGCCAAGAGAGCAAGATCGATCGCGTCAGCTGGGTTGCGTGGAATCAAACGCTGACGCATCACCAGTGGCATGAGTGACAGCTGCGCGGCTGTTTCTATGGTCTCTAGTGCCCGACTAAAACAAAGCGTTTGCACTTTTGTGCCAGCAGAAGGTGGGAATTCCGGCAGAGTATCTGGAATATCCACTTGGACCGTTTCAGGTGAAGCAACAACTTCGCCTTCCACAAATGCTGGGCGTGTGCAAAGCGAGACTTTGGCGATCGACGTCGTAAGCGACTGCCGGGGCGGCGTTGCTGCTAATGCCGTGGCTGCCGGCGACTGTGTTGAAGGTTTCTCGAGAGGGACGGAAATGTCGTCTATCCGACCCGTGCGTACCAGCGTCACCCTCTTGCTGCTGCTGCTGCTGCTGCTGCTGGGGGCGGTAGCGGTTGCGGGAGGCCCGTCGCCAAGGATGGCGGTGGGGTTCGAAGCGAAGGGGTTATTTGACACCACCTCCCCTCCGTCATCGTCCTCGTCGTCGTCGAGGCGGAAGTCCGTGTCATCGCCCTTTCCACGTAAGGCGCCCGTGTCGCTGCCGCCACCACTCGCACTAGTAGACTCCTGAGACTTCCTTAGAAGTTTTTCTTCCTCCCGCATGAGAACAGTAAGGTCTCCACTCAAAGTTCCCAACTGAAACTCATCACCGCCACCGCCACCGGTTCCGCTGCCGCTAGCAGAAGGGGATGTCGCGGGGGTGGCCTTGCTGCCGGACAGACGACCCGTCTTCTCCACGAGCGGCACTTCCTCGTAGTTGAGATAAAAATTGTGCACGAGCCAGCGTGCTGAGTCTGTCACCGCATTGCGGTCATCTGGATTTATATTTGGAACCTCCGAAAAGGCCGCAATAGCAATCTCATGGTGTCGCTTCGCCTTAAAAATCTGTTTGCAGGAGGCATACGCCAGGGCGAGGACGGCATTGGCATGCCCCACTTCAACCGAATTCCGCGCCTGCCGTGCTTCACTGTCCCAAATCGTGAGCACCTTAATCGCCTTTTGCACCTCCCCGTCTCCAAGAAGAGCACGAGCTCGCGTACTAAACAAGGTTCCTTTCGATTGTCGACACTTGTATTGCACCTTATCCCGTTCGTCAAGGGCCACAATACATTCCTTGAACTGTCCAAGCTGTAAGTAAGCGTCAGCCAGGGCCTCCAGCGCAAAGCGTTTATCTGCAGCAGCATCCACACCCTCTGCCCCAGACGCCAAAGTATCCAATTCCTTTGCTGTGACGATCATCTCCGAATACCTACCTTTTGCACGTTGCGCAGCGATGATGTTGCGGGTGGTTTCACGAAGTATCTCCTGATCCTCATACTCCTTTGCGAGCGCACTCACCTTTGCCCAGTGCGCCTCCGCCTCCCCAGTTTCTTCTGTCGCGGTGTACAGTCTGGCAAGTCGGATATAGGTGTTGTACAACAGCAACGCATCACCCGCCTCTGAGGCGCAGTCCAAAACCTGACGATGATAGTGAATGGCCGTCTTCGGCTTGTTTAACGCGGAGTATACCTCAGCAAGCTTTGCAAAGACCAATGACTCCCTTATACAGCAATTATTTCGTACTCTTTCGCGTTCCTTCTCAGTTTCTGTCAGGGATGATTTACTGCTACCGGTGTGGCCAGGAATGTTTTCATCATCCCTATCAGCGTACATGGCAAGAACGTTTGAGTACTCTTGCAGTGCCCTCTCCCATTCACCCAACATGGCCCAGGCATCACCGCAAGTGATGGTAATAATAGGCTGTAGTGCATTCGTCTCATTTAAAATTTCAGTAAGAAGCCGTTTGCTTACGAAAAGCATTGGCAAGAGTTCATCTTTCGAGGCCATCTCCTCCTTACCCTGACAGGTGAAAAGCTGCGTGCTTGCCCACTGCTTCACCTCTTCCAAAGCACCTCGCATGCGTGTGATTTCGCAAGCAGCACGTTCGCCATCAAACTTGCTTAGGCACTGCGTGTGAACGTCATATGCCTTTAACCTCAACCGGAGCGTCTCTACGCGCTCCTCCAGTTCACAGGCCGGAATGAGCTGCGTGGGGTCCGGTAGCGCATCGGACCACAAGGGCGGGCGAACAGAGGCCGAGTTGACTTTATCCCCAATGAGTGGCTCCAGCAGGAGCGCCGCCTTCTTGGGCTGCTCAAGACGCAGCAAAGCCTTTGCGGCCACGACGAGGGAAGCGGTGACGTCGACCAGGGTGCGACTAGACGGGGGCTTCACTTTGGCGATGCAGCGTTGCAGCGCATTTTGTGCCGCGTACGCGCTGTTTACTGCATTACTGAGCTGCTGACGACGAAGGCGCACGTTAACCTCGTGCTCCGCCTGTAACACGTAGGCAAGAGCGAGGTTGCGTTCGCTTTCCGCCTCGCGGCGAAGCCTCTTCAGCTCACACTCCTTGACCTTTAAAGATTCTGGATCCGTCCCATCAGGAACAGTGGCATCAGGGATCGTTCGCAGTCCCTTTGCTGCTGTTGCTGCTACTGCCTGTGGTGGTGGGGGTGCTGCTACGGATGAGGCCTGTGTCATACTTTTTGCGAATTCAACTGCCTGTTGGAAGGCTAACACCGCACTGCCGTATTGTTTCTCCACCTCAAGCTGTTCGCCTCTTTCCCTCAATGCCACATACACGTCTTCACCTCGTCTTGACCGACGGACATGCTTTACATACTCCAAATACTGCTCAAAGTACTTGGCAGTGTTGGTGGCGTCACCCATGCGATAGTAGGCACGCCAAATGGCGCGAAGGAGGAAGAGCTTCGCAGAGTAAACCCCATGTTGAACAGTCGCGTGGCGCACCACGGAAGTGCCACTTGTCGAGGGAAAATCTTGAAACGCCTGCTCACAAAGTTCAGCCTGTGGAAGGGCGAGCTGGATCGTTTCAAGAATCGAGGTGTCCATGCGGGACACCTCCTGCGCCTGTGCCAGAAGCACCATGGAGTTCAAATAGTTTAAACCGCAACCGCGGCACTTCTTTCCATATGACCACTCCTTCTTGGCATTGGCAAAGTGGGCATGGGCTGCCTTGAGAGCATCAGGGTAATCCCCAGTGGCAATGCGTAGCCTCACAAGCGACTCACGGGCAGCTTGTCTGCAAGAAAAAGAGTAACTCGCCAATGAGAATTCACCTTCCTTTCGCGCAAAGAGCTCTGCCTCCTCAAGGCGTGGCGTAGAGGTGTTCAAGCACTGCTCCACACGCAGGTGCAAGACGACTGCCCATAATTGTTGCGTCACAACCTGCAGCAAATCTTCTTCAAATATTGAAGGCCTGGCTCCAGCCACTGGTACAGCGGCTTGCACAGAGTTTGCACGCAGGGAATGCACTAATAAAGAGTGAAAAGACTGATTTTCCACATCACTTCCGGTTGTTGCTCTTTCCGGTGTTAACTGCGACACGCATGAGACCTTATTTTGGTCCTCCGGCAAGGCGTCACTACCATCAACGACGCCCTCCACCGCAGGGAGAGCGGCATTGGCGCCGCCGTACACATCTACAGAGGTGCTTTGCGACCTAATTAACTCGACAGGTGCGAAGTGGCTTTCCTTATTCGTCTCGTTCATTACAGTTAGTTCCTGTATTTCATCCCATGCTTTTTGGAGGAACTGCAGAGTCTGCTGCCGCTTCTCCTCACTCCAGTACGGCGAGCATAGGGCATAGATGGCCATCCTATGGCAGTGGCAGAGGTCAAACGAGGGTGAAGTGACGTCCTGATTATCGGCCTTCGGCATCGTCGAGGCAGATGACGGCTGTTCAAGGTAGGTCACCCAGGTCATGACGACGCTTCGCCCATACACATTCTCCACCTCCTCCAGAATGTCATCCAGCGAAACGGAGTCGGCATCGCGATCCATCAAGAAAGTTGTGTGTTGCGAGACCGTTTGGGCCTCAGAAGGTTTATTCACCAAGGCCGCGTCTGGTGGAACCTGCGGTTTGCCCTCGGGCACGCTAACAAGGCCGCGCTTGAAGTTTTGTAGAATACACTGAACCAGCTCATTGCCGGAAGCATCACGCAACACCCAGAGTGAGATGGCAACTTCTGCAGCTTTTCTTTGATTCGTCCCCAAGGCCTTCATGAGATCTTCTACTATGTCTTCCCAATGCACCGGAATAGCAGACGCCGTCTCGTGTTCCGCAACCGATGGCGGAGCCTCAACCAATGAGGAAGCGAAAGAATCCTGCTGCGCAAGTTGGCGCCGCAAGATGTGCTGCATAATGACCCATGTGGTGAGGGACTTGACTAAATCTATCTTTTCCTCCGTGTTCCGTATCTCATTCAGCCTGGCTTCACCGCTGGTTTCTCCAGCCGTTTTAGAGCTCGTGACTGGCGCCCCTTTTTTGGACTGGGCCGCTTGTTGAAGAGCCACAAGGCCTGGGCTCTCGCTCCCGTCTACCGTGAGACTTGTCAGAGACGCCACGGGACGGGTGGAAAGCGCCATGCCAGGTGTTGGTGGAGTGGAACCCAGCGACGTCAGTGTGGACCACGACTGCCGAGAGCGCATCATCGCATCCGTGTAAATATCGCGATCCAACTCAAAAAGTATTCTCACTGTTCGATGCACCAGCCAACGCCAGCCTTCTTGTGTAATAATTCTTGTGTCATTATTATTATGCAGATCGTTATTCGACACCGCAGGCGACGGCGCAGGTGCCTCACCCACTGTTGCCTGGTCATGTTCTGCTTCTCCCTTCTTCTCGCAGACACCACCGGCCCCTGCCACCTCCTCTGGTATTGCGAGCAGGCAAAGTTCGAGCGTGGCTAGCATGTCCTCCCTCTCATGCCTCAATGCATGCATGTAGTCTTTCGTGGAGTTTCCACAACAAGCTGAAAATACACTCGTTGACGACTCTGCTGTTGCGGCACCTGTGGTCCTTCCAGAACCCATGTAATCCAACTCAGGGTGTGAGGAGGACATGGCTGAAGCATTTCTCTCGGCCGATTCCAAAACACTGGCAACATAATGCAACGCGGCCTGCTTGTTTTCAAAGGGCCCTATGGCGCCATGTCCTTGCGGTCGTTGCTGCTGTTGTTGTTGTTGTTGCAATGAAACTCCTTGCAGGGAGTTGGGGTTGCCGTGGGTTCTGTTCTCGGCACCCTTCTTAGCTCCTTTTCTCCAGAAGCTTGTGAGGCTCCTGAAGTTCATCGGCAAAAAAACGCACACTCACACAATCGAATTACCTACAGCAAGACAGCAACGACAAGACCCGGGCAATGCGACCTCCCCGCCCACACTTCCTTTCGCTCACTAGCCCACTAGGCGAAAGAAAATAATAGGCCGTGACGGACTTCCACTCCCCTCCTTTTGGTTTCTTGTTTTTCACCTTCGTGCCCCCTCGTGTGCGCGTGGTCGGCGCCGATCGTCGTGAGCACGAGCCGTTGCCCGCAACCCGCACGGATATGATCGTACTGGGGCAAGCAAAGAGGGGGTTCAGGGAACACGCACAGACACACAGAGGGAAAAAAGAGAGAATTCACCAAAAGTGGGAGACGCAGGGCGGCGTGCGCGAAGAAAAAAAAGGAAGAAAAAACAAAACAGAGAGCGAGCCAGATACTGGGAGAAAACCAGCAACCACGCCCGCAAGGAATCGCCCTCACGTTCAGCCAAACCTTACTACGCACAACGACCGAGAGAACAAGAGAGGATCTCTCTCGGCGTTTTAGCCCCTATTGGACTCCCACACTTGTTATTTTTCTTTTTTCTTCCCTCCTCTCTCTTCACCTTCCTAGGTATGTATGTATGTGATGCCGCGCCCCCTTTGCCTTCCTTCGCGGCGTTGGTCCTTCTTTCTCCCCTCGTTCCTAAACTCCGTCCTTTGTTCGCGTGTGAGTATGTGTACTGCCTTGCTCAGTCCTTTCCTACGACGACCTACGCACAAAGGAGAGGGGGGAACAAAAAGAGCCAAGGCGCGCAAAATCCCCTTGCCAGAAAAAATACATGAGGGGAATCAAAGCATAACCGGTAACCTCATCCGCTGAGGACGACAACAGTTAGCTTGGGGGTTGAAGCATCAGCAACGTCGGCCGAGACAAGAGGCCGAGGAAAGTTGCACACACACACACACACACAAACACAGATGCCTACAAAGCGGGGCTTAGGTGTTATGGCACTCAGCGTTGTTATATTTATCTTCACTCTTCCACTGTTCTTGCGACATTTCCTTTTCCCCTGCCAGGGCCAAACCACATGCCCGGGGCCGGCGCCGGCGCAAGCACAGAGACCCTCCCTCTCACCGCCACCCAAACTTCACTTGCTCCACCCTCCTCGTCGTGCAACGGAGACGCTAGCGCGCCGCCTCTGAGCGCCGCCGCCACACCTCCCACGGCCTTACCTCATGCGCCTCTCGCGCCACATGGTCGAGGTAAACAACAGTGCCGTGGTACACAACCTTTTCCCATCCGGGGGGCAGTGGCTCGCCGTCGTTGGGGCACATCGCGGCATAGAGCGCCTCCTCCGAGATTTCATCCACGCTCTGCAGCGGCGACATGCCCAGCTCGATGACAGGCATTCGGCTCTCCGTCCTGGGACGACTGTTTCGCTCCTCCACGTTTTCGGGGGACCGCTCGCGGTGCACCGGGAAGCCACGTCGCGACATTGGCACGCACAGGCAGCGACACAACAAGAGAGACCCGGAGGCTACTGGAGTGCGATGGCTAACACCAACACTTCACTCGCACTGTACAGGCACGCACACGCACACAAAGAAGAAGACAAAAAAAAACACACACACAAAATAAGAAGGCGAGAAAGGCCGCCAAGAGTAACATCCCTCTCTCTCTCTCACCATACCAACATGAAGCACTCCGCAACCCAAGAACAACATGAAACAAGAAAAACTTCACCACAGCAAAACAAAGAGAGAGAACACATACAGTCACACATCAGTAACGAGTAAATACATTCAGCTTTGAAACGCAAGCACACTTACCCCTTGCTCAACACAAACCACATCAGCAACTTATCGAGACCTTGTAATCCCGCAATATATATATATATATATATGTCTACATTACTCCTTTTCTGACTCGGATAGCAGCGCACAGGAATGTGACAAAACATAAAGCGTCCCCCAGCTAACAGCAAACACTACGAAGAAAGCGAGTACAAGTGTTCTCAATAACATCCTCAGCAAGGAAACTTATACATAACGAAATACTTATCAAAACCATCAACAGCAAACCAAAGGCAACCGTTGACCATAATAGTGCGCAATTCCGCATCATCCATGCATACTCGATCACACTCACCGTCCTGGAGGAAGCAACAAGCGTCAACTCGCTTCGGCATAAGCGTCTGTGTTCCTCAGGGTGTCCATTTCATTGCTGAGACTTCGGTTCTGGCGGGGCGGGGTTCGCACTATTTTCGCGATGCAGCCGGAGTGCGTGCGCACGGCCGTACTCCGAAATCACCTCGGACTTTCCGCAGTACGACACCTGCAGCGGCTTCTCGCGCTCCATGTTATAGCGGTTGTGAAGAGCCATGATCGCACAGTCTGCCTCCACCGTCGAACCGAACTCCACAAATGCACTGCCCTTGCTACGACTGGTCGCTCTATCGCGGAGTATATTTACGTGAAGCACTTGCCCGTAGAAGTCGAAAAGGGCGCAGACGTCCTCTTCAGTTGCCTCAAAGTTCAGCTG